TACTAACCTTAGTTATTGGGTAGTGTTTTCCTTCCAAAGTGAAACTTTAAAGCAATGTAAACACAATTTAGGGGAAAAAAAATTTTTTTTTCCACTCAATATCTGAGCTTCAGGTTTTAGAAATTAAGGGGTGTAGAGTGTATTGACTCTTGTTTTTGTAGTTTAGCCAATAACTTGAACATCTAAGGATAATTCCAGTTCTAAGCCATGGTGGCACTACTGATCTTTTTGCCCATAAAATCAAACTACAAGAATAAGGTCATGTGGAAAATTGTAATATGTGTTCTGCTCACTTCCTTTCACTCTGCCCTTTGTTAACACCCTGCCTCATAGGTTACATTTGTCATTTTGTTTTCTCTGATTTGATACTTATTTTTAGGGAGAAACAGAGAACAAGCCAACACTTTGTAGTTTAGGATGAACATTCTTCTCTCTAATGTCAACTGCCAATGAAATGCTGTTCTCACCAAACTTCATACTGGCTGACTTTGTTCTATATGCAGTCATTTATTTTATGATGGGACTGGTAGGTAGATCTAATCAGTCACTCTACAAATTTATTAGTATGGTTCACAAATGATGGTTTAGAAGAATTATGGCAAGTAAGTGCAGCTCTTTTGTTGCAATGGGTTCTGATGTAATGGATTTAATTTCTTGTATACACATTCAGCTAGATTGTATAAGCCAGCTAGGTCACTGTGTAACAAACCACCCCAAGACTCTAGCTTCAGCCACAATCATTTGTTATTATAGCTCATATATCTGTGCCTTGGCAGGAGGTCAGCTGCTTTAGCTAGAAGACAGTCGAGTGATTTTCCTAGGTTCAACCAGATTCACTCACATGTGGAAGGCTGGGAATTGGCTGATCTTGATCAGGCTCCTTTGTGGGCCAAATTCTGTTTTACATGTCTGTCCTCCTTCTCCTGGGGTCAGTAGATCGTCCTGGCACATCCTTTTCATTAGGATGTCAAAAGCACAAGTATGTAAGTCCTGTTGTGCAAGTGCATTTTAAGACTTACTTGTGTTAGGAAGCTAACATCCCTTTGGCCAAAGCAAGTCACATGGCCAGTCTGAGGTGGGGATTAGTCCACAGTGGGAAGGCACTGCAAAACTGCATGGCAGTGGACATGGATAGAGAGGTGAGTATAGACCTGAAGCCAATTATGCAATTTATAACAAACATGAAAGTATTCATTGACTCTTGTTGAGTCAAGGGACTCTGAGTGGGGCCCCCTTGAGCCACTGGGGCCTCTATCTAATAATTACCATCATAAGGCGTCATAAAATAGAGCAGGCAGAGAAAGCAGGCCATGTCACTGTATGATTATCCAGGAACAGTATATCCTGGTACAGGAAATCTAGAAATCATATAAAATCTAAAGGGGGAAAAAAAAGTCATTCATGTTCTGGATTATTCTTTAGAGATATTTTTACCATTTTGATATGCTTCCTTTCAGTTCTTCATGAATATATAAATGTATATCTAGATTTTTTCTTAATATTCTATAATAAATCTTTCTTTGCCTTGTTATTAAAAAGACTTGGCATGTGTAATATTATTATCCACATAAATGTTTCACATATGGGTGCATCATAATTTGTTCACCTTGCCCTTGTTCTTTACTGTTTTGGTTCTTTTCAGTGTTTTGTGATTAAAATAATGCTACAGTAAGCGTATCTGTGCACAAATCTTTATTTACATTTTTAGTTGTTTCTTGGATGGAAGGACTACTGGTTGGAAATGCAGGGATCTGGGACGGTCACTATTTTACCATGCAATCTGGATCTATGTGTCCACTTCCTCATTAGAAAATGATGTATTTGAGCTCGATGGCCTTAAACTCCTTTCTAATTCAAACACCATCTTCAAGTTAGAGTAATAAATTACTTTATTGAAGTGGAAGCACTGGTGTTTTGTCCTCAACAAAGCTCACGGGAAGAGAGGCCACTTCCCTGGGCTTCTCACTTGGAAGAGTTCGGTGTCTTTGAGAGAGGAGGTTTTGCTTCGTAGTTCAAGTATCATTGTTTGTCCTTCAGTCTCCATTCCTGATATAGCAATGATTTTATACATGTATATAAATGTACATATATTTATATATGTATATAAATTATATATAATATCTATAAATTATATGTATAAATATTATATATAATATA